TTAATTTTCTCTCAAAACGAGGGATCTTGACACAAAATGAGCAACTCTTTCGCCATTCTTGACAAAATTACCAAAGTTACCAAAACTACATCGGCTGGCTCATTAGTGTTTCACCTGGATGATTGCATAGAAAACATTTGTGGGCGAATAGCTCGAGTTTGTGAAGCAAAAGAATAGACATTTCCTGCTCGACTAACTATTGCTGGCCTTGTATTCATGATTGTTGAGTTCGGTGTTCATTCCGAGGACTATGTCTTTACGATTATTCACTGCATTTCAGGTAAGTGTTGCAATGGTAGGCTTAGATAAAATTGATCTTTTTCAGTTGTTGGCACAATCATAAACCTTTTAGGTACAGGTTACAAATCTACTCAAAGGCTAACAAGAAAGAAAATCTAAATACCGGAAATGCTGTATTAGAGCGGTCGGTTGCTTTATTATATCCCTTTCAATATCCTTTTGGAGATTCGCTCTATTAGAAGGGATTATTCTATTTTTCATGGTTCTATTTTTCATTTTTTTTTCAGAAGCCAGGTTAGAAGCCAGGCCAAAAGCCAGGCCAAGCCAGCCTAGACCAGACTTCTGGCTAACCCGAAAACTTGTTTTTGGTACTAAACTACCAAGATTATGCACAATGGGCTTATTTTATTTAGTAATTTATGTAGTTAGAGCCAAGTCCGGCTTTTTTTCCCTGGTTCTCACCGCTCATCATGCAAGATGGAGTCACTTAGTCGTCCAATTGAGCGGTCAGATTTGAAAGAACCATGTCAGATCATAAAAATATTATTTCTGTTAAAGAAAACTTCTCATAACATCTATTAAATATTAACAAAATGAAAATAAATAACAATGATTCTAGTAACAATTAGCTAGCAAGATCACGCGGAACATCAAAGTTGAAAAGAATCAAATCATTGCTTGTATCGTCGATTTCTGCAGCGTTTGTATCGACGTTTGTGTCCAATTCTCCGAAAACCTTGGTCATTGCTTGATCCAGACGAGCATTCTTCAACTTTTCGTAGCCTAAAACAACAAAATAGTAGTGCACCCTGAGCGTTGCCTAAATTGCTTGAAATCTCGAGAACCGCTTATCCGAACCTATCGATGTGGGGTCGGAAAATGTAGCTGACGATGAGATCTTGTAGGGGATTAGAGTGTTGAGCTTCTGCAAAAACTTGGACATCGTAAAATAGTCATCAACTCGGCTCGACGGGGTGCACTACTATTAGAGAGAATACGGTACTTTATTTAGGGTGAGATAGCATAAAGTGTGCCATTGTTGAATGAACAAGCATAAAATCACACTAAGCTACACTTGAACTAAAGAGAATTTAAACAAAAACAAGATTTAAAAAAGGTGAAAAGGTTTCTAGCAACTTTTGAGGAGACTTTATTATGTTGTTATGTTATAGGACAAAGATGTATCAAGTAAAATGGAAACCTGTGCTAAATTTCACAGCAGAAACACTGTCACAACGAATAACATTAATTGATTTACGAACAAATTGAATCATTTAACCAGGGCTCTGTAATGGCTAAAATCTAATAAGCTTTTGTTCTAACTAACGTTTGAAAAGTGACTAAACGACTGCAAGAATTAGAAACAATGCTGTGAGCGTTTGAATAGGAAATTTCTAGGAACGAAAAAAAGAGAGAAGCCTCAAGAGAGGAAAAATCTACTTGATTATTGTTGATCCTGAAGATTGAGGACGCGATGGTTGGGGTTGAAGACACGTTCGTATAATCTTTGAGCTGGACTGGAAATCTTCGATGATGAGCTTGAGAACAATGAAAAGACGGTTGTATCGACGATGGGTTGAGTGTAGATAAATCCAGTAGAACCATTTCTTGATGTAATCTTCCGCTTCACGTTAAATGGAGCAGGCACGTACTTGGGTCGTCCTCTCCTGTTTGAAGGCATTGTAAAGGTTTGCGATGTAGGGGCAATTTCATCTATTTCATCTATGTGATCCGTTTGCATTGAAACCTCAATGATCTTCTTGAGACATCCATGCGGTCAGGTTAAAAATCGGGTGGTAGGTGAGAAGACAACGTGTTTTCTCTTGGCTTTGGTGGGGTCGGATCGACGAAATATATCAAATTGGGCTACCCACGGTAGAGAATCCTTGACCAAAAAAAATGAAAAGAGCCGAGCACATTTGATACACCAAATTTTGACGATAAGATGATCTTAGGGTGTGGGTGAGACGAAGAATATATTCCCATTCGATAGCGGACAAATGTGTAGGCGTCCAATCCAAAAGCGGAGAAAATTGAGTTGAGTAAGAATGGATTGAAGGCGCGACGATACTCTGGAGTGATTGTTGGGTGAAGGAAACAAGGGAAGATCCACAATGACCAGATGGTACTCCTAAGTGAGCGATTTGGTTAGCACAAAGTCCTCTCGTGAGCGGAAGTCCAAATGGTATAGGTGGCAGAGGGTGGAGAGGATGACGGAGCCGCATCAGCATCAAATGTTGCATCAATTGGAGAAGTAGAAGTAGAGCATATGGCGCCCTTAAACTCGGATAATTAAATAATAATAATAATGCCCTGCAGAAAATAAGAAATAAAAAAATTGTGAAAGAAGGGGGTCGTCCTATTTGAGGGGATCGCTCTGCTATAGCATTTACCATAATCTAATTTTTATTTTACAGGTGACAACAACATTTTGTGATCATATTCTCGGTGATGGTTGTTGTCCTTTTTTACTTTTGCCCTTGACTGGAGGGGTACCATATGGTTGGATGACACGCGTCGGGCTCTCCACCGAGTTCTTGACTGTATTTTTTAAATTTGAAACAAAAAACAAATGAATTATGCTAATTTGAAAAGGTTTTTCTCGTGATTTCTTTAGGTCTTGGCTATTTCTGTGGTCGGCCACACTCAAACATGTACAGTGTTTTTGTTTCTGCTTCGACTCCAATTCATCGTTCCCATGGGTCATCCGTTAAAAGTGAAACCTGCGTAAACCTTAGCTCTAAAATTATTCATCCAAGTCTTTTAGGTTGAAATATGCGTTCTTTTTATTGCTGAATATCGCTCCTTACTTACATTGCATGTGGTTTTTGCCAGTCGTCTTTAATCATGCCAATAAACAAGCTACCAATGACTATTATCGACAGGTTAGTTGATAGTTAACAGCTTTTAACACATTCACGACAAAATCATTTTTGGCTTGGCTGTTGTTTCGGACGATAGCTATCTATGTTATCTATGTTTTAGACGTGAAAATTTGTAACCGGAGTCATTCTGGGATAGAGAGTTTGAATCCGTTATTAACTTTGGAGCAACTTTGTGTGGGTTGCACTTAGGTAATTAAACTGAATGAAATATCCAAAAATAGAACCGTTTTCTTTAAAGACCAAGTACTAATTCGAGTTTCTTGACCCCGTAAGCCCCTTCGTGCAAATTTTCTGCCCCATCGGCCTCAAAAAAAGTGCTAATTCCACGTACGGCCGACCGGTGGGCCGTATAGTCGCGAATGTGTTAAAAATGTCATTGAAAAAGGGTGAGCAAGCCCTCAGCAAGTTGAATAATCTGTTTTTGGATTGTTCACCCCTATTAGGCTTAGGATCTAACCCGCAACTAACCTTTTAATTGACGTGATCTATTGTCAGACCTATAGGGACGTCTTTTCAGAAATACCCTGAGTTGCTCCAATTCATCGAATTAGACAATTTCTTGGCCTCTCTTCCGGAAATGAATTCCTTCATTCTCAACAATATTTGCAGTTTTTGCGGCTATCTGTGGCACATTGATGATCAGTTGGTGGTTTTAGAATCAAATGGCTATGCGCCTAGTTAACGATTGTGATTGTGGGAGAATTGATACGCGCCCCGCCTTCTTTGCCATTGGCAATCTAACTCTGAGCTCAAAAATCTTGGTGTTGGGCTGCTCAATGAAATAATTTTTGTGCCATTCGACAGGGAAAGACTTGGCGCATCCAATGATACCAAGAATATTCAAAATTGAACAGCCCAACACGAAGATATTTCAGCTCAAAGTTAGATTGCCAATAGCAAAAGCGCGGGGCGCGTATAAAATGTCCAATACCCCTCACCAAATCCTCAATTTCATTGGTACCAGGTTAGTGCAAAAAATGGGTTGCTAAAATCGGTAAATTATAAGTTTTATATAAGTTGGGTACTTTCACTGCCAAATCCACGGGTCTTCTTCTTCTAATATGCAAAATGGCGTGCAAAAGAGTCAAAAGTGCCCCAAACTTGCTTTTGATTATTTCGCACGCCATTTAAAATGCAAATGTTCTTGGCTTAATGTAAAGTGACTTGCAGAATAGTCACACGTACCATGAAAAGACATAACAACTCAGGTTTATCTTGTCTCTGCTTCTACTTTCTTCGCATTCAAAACCCACTCATTGGTGCATTTTCCTTTTCTTCGGTGGCTGAAACGAGTGGATCGATCAAGAAGAAGAAGCAAATAAAGGCCACAACAGCGACTTTCATTTTGGATTGGTGAATGGAGAAATACAAATTGGATTTGTGCTGTAGTTGGGACTTAAAGTTGGGTATTGATACCAAGGTTGCCATTTGTTGCTAGCAATTCTAAATATAATCCTGAAACCTTGCTGATTTCATTTCCGCTGACAACACTGACTAGTTTTTGACCCCTTCAAAATAATTACTTGAGTTGTCAGTTAGTTTGTGTTGTGAAAAGGTAGACAAAAGAACTTATTGATTGTTGAGTCAAAGTGCTGATAAGGAAAAAAAATCAAAAGAAAACTAAACGGTTTACGTCTGTCTTTTAGTTGGGGCTTTTAGTTGGAATTACTTTGGGAGCTTCACAAACAAACTTAGAATATCGAAGATGGCAAAGGTCGTGTGAAAGCCTTTTCAGGTTTCGATTTTTTCAGCCTTTTTTTAGGCTTCAGTTTTCCAGGCTTTAAGAATAAACCTTTGGATTAAAAAATACTCTTGGTGTTTTGCCATTTGTCTTCTGAAGTATTCTGAAACAACAATGAGAAATATTTTCAAATTGCGGTCTCTTTTTCTTTCCTTCCACCTTTGCGGCTTCCTTCCTTCTTTTTCCTCAGCTTATCAGTGTTTTCGAACAAGAAGTACAACCAGATTTTGATTCATTTAACCCATTAAAAATGCAAAACAAATAAAAATGAAACTTTTTCAAAACTAGGAGTGACAATTCAACTAACGACTGAAATGAAAAGACAAAGAGCTATCATCGGAAATTAAATCAGAAAGTGGAAAAATAAATATTTTAATGCCCTTTCGATGATAGTTACCCTAAACAATCAGCCAGTATAAATACCCAACTTAAAGCCTCAACTACAACACAAATCCAATTTGTCGCTCAGCCAAATAATTGCTGCTGATCCCACTCAATGAACTTTTCCTAACAATTTCCACATTTTTTAATAAAACATTTTATTTCAATACAGTAAACACTAAACCTTCTTTTGTTTTATCTTGAATTTTAAGTACTTTGTTGAGCCAAGGAAGCAGTGACCCAGAGCGGAGACACTTTTGGACCCAACCACTTCTCGACAATGGCTATCGAAAAATTTATAAGGCTTTAGAAAAACTACTTACAATCAACTCTTTTCCATTTACTCAGTTTCAGCAAAGTTGCTTTGAGCTGTTTACGATACGGTTGATACAATAGTAGTATTGCTATAGTATTCGCAAGACCATGTTGAGAGACGCACAGGCTAATTAGTGGGCAATACTCTAAAAATTATTATGTAGAATATATTTGCTCAATTTCATGCAGACTTTCGTTGTGTTGAAAATAGGATCGAGCTGAAGATCAACTTACTGGTGTATTTGATTTCATCAAGAATGATTACAGCAGTACCCAAAAAGAACGGGATGATCACAGTGATCATTGGAATTGTTATCTGAAGTAAGGTTACAGTGTTTTTAAATCAAATTTACGTGCTATTGATGTTAGAGTTGTTTTACGACTTTAACGGTTTAACGCTAGAAATCAAACCCAAATATTTAAAGATGTGATGCTTTAGATTTGACAAATCCACTGAAAGTCAATCGAAAGTTACGAAATTCTGTTTTGGCTAGAGGTGTTTTCTCGCAAGTTATTCAGAGAATGATGATTAACCCATCAAGTATCCCTATAAATTTCTAAAAACTAATTGCTCAATTGTTGATGATCATTATTGCTTTTTTTTAAAAGTCTTTTGAAATTGTCTTGACGTATTTTATTAAGTTCCACATGGATCAGAATTTCAAGAACAATCCTAGGGAAGGGGATAAGCAGCCTCCATGCGAAGCAACAAATGTTGGAAGAGTTGACCATTTTCTGTTGCTCTCCTAAACATATAATCAAATAAATCTTGTCGCTTCCACCTTCCAATTATATGTTGACTGTGCTGTTGAATTACTTAAGAATCAACTTCAATGCGACCATAGTTGGGCCAATCCCAAGCTCCAGTTTGTCGACCCAGATGACCCACTATCATATAAGTATAATGAAATCTTTAAAACATAAGCTCGATAATTACAGGTGGAAGCGACGTGGGGCGCGAGGAAGGCTTCAATTCACGATTTGCGTGGAACAACAAAAGATCGACTTCCAGCTGATTTATTTGATTATATGTGATTTATTTGAATATATAAAACTTCCTTAAATTGGAAAAAAAACGTTCGCCCAAGTCAGTCATTCTCTTCATTTCCCAGTCACTAAGCACATAGATATATGACGGTTGGATTCAGAAATTTTGCCCCTGTTGAAGCTTCGATGGTCCTGTGGCGAATTGCCACTGCTCTGCAGTTAGTCAAAAATTCAATACACAGGTTAAAATTTAAAGTTGATGGATAAACTACCGTAATCAGTCACTAGACGATATTCAGCTGTCCGTTTGTTGTAGCTTGTATACTTAAAAAACCCGTTTTTCAAGCTTTGCTTTTGAGTGGGTTTTTGTTCTGCTTTTTTGCTCTTTATCATCCTTTTTTTCACATGCAAGTGTTGAATTAATTGTGATAATGCCAGGTTGCTCCAGTTTGAGCGAAGTTGCCCTAACAAGGGAAAGTTGGATAAATTGTGCGTTTTCAAGAAGACCACTATTGAACCACACCGAGACACGGTCTCACAAGAAATTATATAAATCAAAACATAAACATATATTTCTTACAGGTCCAGCCTAATAGAGATAGCTATTTCCATTGGTCGAAACAGAGAAACAGTCTAAAATGCGGTTTTGCACAAACAGAGAAAGTCTTGTCATAGTCTTATTTAATATATTTCATTCTATTTACATTATTTTTGAAGTGCGCCAAGTTGCAGAGCAAGCCCGATTCTGAATCGAATGATAGCAAAAAATAGCTTTGCTTTGGTTTCCCATTTTGGCTTCCCATTTTGAAGACGGTCTTCATAATGTATTTATTCGCAAGTTTAGATTATAAAATACACGAAGTACACACGATCAGAGTTTGAAGCACCAGAAATTTTTTTATCAGCTCTTGTGGGGTGATCAGTTTTTTGGATTGGAAATAATCAAAAATCACCTTTTCTATTTACTCGCTGAAACGTTTCTGTATTTCGAAAAAAGCTCAATACTTATCGGATACAGGTGGATATCGAGTAGATCTCAAGGTTGCTTGAATAGCCATTTATAAAAAATGCAAAGGCACAAGAGAGATCGAAGTGGAACGGTTGGGTTTTCAGAGTGATGCGATAGGAAAAAGCACTTCCTGGTGTCAAGGGTTAAATAGCGAAGCTCTGGGTGGCTTAGGCAGTCACGCAACAAATTGTTTTCTAAGCTGTGGAGCCTGCAGCTGAATAGGGTCTCTTATAGCGGGTTGTCTGACCAGTGGGGGCAGCCACGTAACTAGAAGTTTCTGGTAGTATTCAGTTTACTTCTTTACTTATTGCTCTTGCTTTTGCTGAATATTTGAACATAATCTTATCATAAAATTAAAAGTTTTTTGTTTATTTTTGTTTTTTTGTTTAGTTTTGATTTGAGCTTCTGCTGATCTTTAACTCTTACTTTTAGAACATGGGTTTCTTCTCGGTGAGCTCCACCATCTGCCTCGTGCTCCTCGCTGTTGCCACGACCGCGTGAGTCTAGGGAAACAATATAAGAATGGGCAAAAATAGAAATAGTAGTAAAAATACTTTAAACTAGCATTAGGTTATTACATAAGTCTTGAGACTTTGTTTCAAAGTTCAAAGAAATGAATATCTAACCTATCAACACAACAAATGTTTGGTTGTCGATTGGTTGGATATTCTATTCTAAATGAAACTCTGAAATAAAGCCTCAAGAATTATATAGCAACCTAATACCAAACTTTACTTTAGGAAAGATATTCGTGCGCGCCGCGACGCCGTCAGCGACGTGCAGAGTGTGAGCGCATTTAGTAAGTGGTTGAACTTTTAATTTTGAGAGAAGGATATTATGTTACTGAAGCTAAAGTATCTGTATCTTCTGTATATTAGAAACGGATGAATTACTCAAAACATATGCTTTGTAATATAATTATATAGGTATTATAGGTATTTACCCGTACAATACCATTTACTTCAGTCCGTAAGTGCACCGCTGATGAGTTGTCCAAGGGATGCACCGAGGCGCCCAACGCATTCGGACCTGACAAAACTTCGTGCATCTGCGTCGTTGGGTGAGCCTCGTGACCTAGAGATTTTAATGAATGATATACATATACTTAATAATGCTTAATAGCAACAAAATATAAACTACTAAAATATTATGAACAATTGTGCGAAAGTGAAGTCAAATTGTTTAGCCGTGCGCGTCGCGACACCGTCACGACTGTGGTGAAGAGTGTGAGCGTATCTAGTGAGTGGTTGAACCCTTTGAAATTTAATTTTGAGCGAAGGATACTATGTTACTGAGCTAAAGGCTGTCTGTATCTTCTGTATATTAGAAACGTATTAATTACCAAAAACATATGCTTTATTATATAATTATATAGGTATTATAGGTATTTACCATTTACAATACCATTTACTTCAGTCCGTAAGTGCACCGCTGATGAGTCGTCCAAGGGATGCACCGAGGCGCCCAACGAATTCGGACCTGACAAAACTTCGTGCACCTGCAACTCAGGGTGAGCCTCGTGACCTAGAGTTTTAAGCGATTGGTTTGTAGTTTAACACCAACAAGACATGAACTCCTAAAATATTAGGTGTGTGAAAAAGTAATCCACGTTTTTAACGTTTAAATATAAAAGACCATAAGTTTCGTTAAAATAATTTTTATTCAACGAAGTAATCACCATTCGAAAGAACAACCTTTTGCCAACGTTCTACAAGTAAAGACATTCTATGATAATAAAAATCTTGGTCCTTAGAGGCGAAGAAAAGATCAACCTCGGTTTTGACATCTTCTTCGGAATTGAACCATTTATTGGCCAAAAAGTTAGACGGAGACAAAAATAAATAATAATCAGATGGAGAAAGGTCTGGACTATAAGGTCGATGTGGTAAAACCTCCCATCCAATACTCTGGATTTTTTGTCGAGTCTGTAAAGAGACATGTGGTCGCGCGTTATCGTTCATGCGGTATCCATTTGTCCAACTTTTTGATAAAATTCATGGCATTCAAGCGTTTCCTTACGGTTGACCCATCACAATTTAATGTAAAGCCTATTTCTGAAGAGGTTGAACGAGGGTTTTCGAGAAGACAGCGTCTTATTTGGTCATCAGATAAAAATAAAAAACCTGGATTACTTTTTCACACACCTAATATTATGAACAATTGTGCGAAAGTGAAGTCAAATTATTTAGCCGTGCGCGTCGCGACACCGTTACGACTGTAGTGAAGAGTGTGAGCGGATTTAGTAAGTGGTTGAACTTTTTGAACTTTAATTTTGAGAGAAGGATATTATGTTACTGAAGCTAAAGTATCTTCTGAATATTAGAAACGGATGAATTACTCAAAAAATATGCTTTGTTATATAATTATATAGGTATTATAGGTATTTACCCGTACAATACCATTTACTTCAGTCCGTAAGTGCACCGCTGATGAGTTGTCCAAGGGATGCACCGAGGCGCCCAACGCATTCGGACCTGACAAAACTTCGTGCATCTGCGTCGTTGGGTGAGCCTCTTGACTTAGACTTTTTAGTGGTTGGTTTGTAGTTTAACACCAACAAGACATAAACTCTTAAAGTATCATGAATCATTGAGAAAAAGTGAAACCAAAATGTTTAGCCGTGTGCGACGTGATTCCGATCTCGACCGAGTGAAGAGAAATGTATTCGGTTAGTCGAACTCGTTAGATGTAGACAGAGTTCTAAAATCATCATATCTGCAGGAGCCATTGCAGGAGCAATACTTAGAAAGAGCATTGCTGTGTAGCTGCTTATTATGACTTCTAAAATCTTAAAGCTTAGTGAAGCTATCAAATCATAATAATTATGTGAGGGTTCGTTATATCTAACATTTATTCACTAAACTCTAAATTGTGCTAGTCACAAATCACAAGTCTCAGTGTTTCTTTGGGTTCAAAACACAGGGAAAGAGTTGTTGATTTGTTTTTACCCCTTAGTAATAGATATAAAATGAGAAGAGATTTCAAGGTCTTTTTTTAAGGAAAAGTTATTATTTTCATTCTTTGACCATTTCATTCTCACAACTCCAATGTTTTTCCGATCCAACCCGTGACTCATAAAAGCGTACGATTACCATTCAATCGTTTTCTCTTTGGAGTCCATCATTTTCTACAAAAAGTATTCAATTTTCTAGAATTACATTTGAAAACTGATACAAAAGAAAAAAGAAATTTTTATACGACGTTTTAAAAGATTTAGAAAAGTTTGAGAAGAAGCCTTTTCTAAACCAGCCGAACACTCTTTTAGAACTCTCGATGGGGGTGGGACAAATGCGACCTTTTTTTTGCGCACCTGGACATTTGCGCACCTTTTTTTTGCTGGAAAAGGCCTTATGCAAGGCCGTAGAGCTTCGAAAATATTTCCATATAAGGGATTCGTATGCGTAGATTCCGAATTTAGACAAATCAGACCTCGCTGACACGTCAAATTTGGGCTAAAAGGCAAAAACTGCGGAAAAGCGTTAAGTTGCGTAGTTTTTGCCTTTTAGCCCAAATTTGACGTGTCAGCGAGGTCTGATTTGTCGAAATTCGGAATCTACGCATACGATTCCCTTCTATGAAAACATTTTTGAAGCTCTACGACCTTTCCTAAGGTTTTTTCCAGCAAAAAAAGGTGCGCAAATGTCGCATTTGTCCCACCCCCTCTCGATATAGTTTGCAGTCCAAACACCAAAGCAATTATAATTCTATTTTTTTTCAATTATTCACTCATACATATAAAGTATTATAGTTTTTTGAAGTAAGCAAATTATTTACACTGAAATCTAAGGACATTAAATTCTCATTCTTTTTCAGAGCGTGAATGCACCCACGAGGAAATGGTCGACAAGCACTGCACTCTTGTCGCTGACATCGGACAGCCATTGCGGTGCGATTGCCCTGAATAAATTTTTGCAACCTTACATTATCATTTACATTTACATTTTACAGTATCCAGATAAATGAAAATACAATATCTTCTTTATACATCGATTTGCAAATAAATCTTTGTCTATGCTTGATTTCTTTTGGCCATAACTCAAAAGACTATCGTAGTCTCTTAAAATAAAGTTGATTTCAAAAATTACAAAATTCACCCTTGTTTATCACAAAGGAAACACAATTTAACACGTTCGAATTTCGAATTGCGTCCAATATCGAATCACTCACCAACAAAAAGCAAATAATTTCAGAAGTCTATATTTTTAAGGGGTACTTGGTTCCAGTCAACCTCCATAAAAGTGCCAGTAAAAAACTCAACGAGAAGTAGATCCATCCAGGTATCAATCAAATTTGCCGACGCTTTTAAAAAAAGGATCTTAAGGAGGGAAAGAGCACGTTTCCCAAATTACCAAAAATCCAAAAATCCAAAGGGAACGCTGTTCCCTCAAGGACAAACATGAGAAAAGTTCCGGCTGTTGAAGGGAAATAGTTTCCGAAAAGGGTTCACCTTTGATCACTTAACAACGGAAAGATGAGATCGATGAGTGGTCGCATCCGTTTCCTTCCTATTTGCGTTGCTATTTTGCAATTATTCGCGTCGCATCCTCGTGTAATTTTGCTCTAGAAAAAGCATTTGATGTTTTTTTTTTGGTTAATTCCGGAAGATGAGCCATGAAAACGGGCGTATAACCCTAATCGAGCTGCACAAGGGTGGAACAAAGCGGATATTGTTCGAACAACTGGAGATGCCCAAACGTCTACAACACCGTGAAACACCATAAAGACACCGGAGGAACCTCTGATCGCCCCAGGTCGGGCGGCCACGCCCGACCATCGCAACCACCGCAACCACCCCAGAAATTGTCAAGAAGATCCTATGCTAAATTCGTTGAAATCCGGAAGTGCCAAAGCGGAAAATGGCCAACCAGCTCGATATTAGCGAATTCAGCGTTCGTCAAGTGGACAAAAAGAAGCTACAGTTTAAAAGTTACAAATTGGCTCGCCTTCACTTCCTTAACGATACGATAAAGACAAACCGACTCCAAAAAGCCCGACGGTCGGAGGTGTTCGCTTAAACAGGGAGCTCTTCACCGACGAGAAGATTTTCATAGTGGAACCGTTCCTTAACCGTCAAAACCACCTTCAATTGCTAAAAAAAGATCTTTTACGGACATTTGCAGCAAAAATCATCCGTCGCAGCAAGTTTCCAGCATCGATCATGGTTTGGGCGAAGATTTGCGCCTCGGGCAGGACACCACTTGTTTTCATACCAAACAAATAAGACGTCTTGCATTCTTGGTCGATGAAGGATTTTGGACAACAAGAATTTACTCTTCAGCAAGACTGGACTCGGCCCATACGGCCAGAACAACCATTGCCCTTTGTCAACGCTTGTTTCCCGGTTTCTTTGATAAAGATGTTCGGCCGTTTGATTTGAATCCTTTGGATTTTTTCGTATGGTCAATCTTAAAGCTAAAGATCTCAGGAAAAAGGGTAGGCCACCTTGGATTCTCGCATTGGTCAATCTTTTTGCTTTTTAAGTCATTGCTTACGCTCTACCTGTTTTCTACTTACAACAATATAGGGTTACTTGGACCAAAGAGCCCAAGTTGAGTCTTCGGGTTGTCCCCTTTTCTGACTAAAGGACCTCACGCCCCCATAAAAAGACCATAGACAAAACATTTTCATAAGATTTGAACGTTATTTTGTAGAAAAATAGTTGACCTTTCTAATGAAGTCAATTATAGGTCAATTGGTGAATTTGTCATTTATTAAAGTAGAAAAAAGTTTAGATTACCTGACGTCTTCGCGCACAATAAACGGCACTACCAGTTGTACAATCGGGAGCTTCATTGCGTATCGAAAATAGGCTCCATCAAGTGCGAGCATTATTGTGAAATTTATTACTAAATTTTTTAACATATCTTTAATAAACTTTTAAAATTCTACCTTAACAATCATGGAACATAATAAAACAATGGTGAAAACAAAATCGATCTTTACACCAAGCACACAGAAAGCTCCCTCGATAAGTGCAATTGGGGACAACAAAACCAAAGATCGTTAAAGATTGTTCAACTTATTAATTGCTTTATCGCGCGGTATGATCAGCGTCTGAAGCAGAGAGACTAATTGAATCGTCGGTAAAAATTGAATAAACTAACTGAATCGTCGGTTTTTTCCTCTTTAAACTGTGGGCTCATGATTAATATTTTTCTCAATCGTCGGTTTTATTTCGCTGAATCGATCTACTATGTATACAGAGTCGGAATCGATAACGGCTAAACTCTATCGATTTCACGAGCTACTTATCGTCGTGTTATTGGCACTTGCACTAGAAGGTCTCTTGGTCGTTTCCTTTTGGGATAAAGAAAGGGAATAATATGAGATAAGATGAGTACGCTGAGATGAGTACACTGAGATGAGTACTAATTCAGTTCATAGCTCCTAATTCAGTTCATAGCTCCTAATTCAGTTCATAGCTCCTAATTGTAAATCTAATTGTACGCTTAATTTCAGCAATCTATTCGCTTTCCTATTATGGCTATATGAACTACATTCCACCAATGTACAACGTGACGAATGGTGACAACATGACCGATTTGGTTGATCTGCGATTGGACATTGACTGGGATCTTCAAGATTTTATAGATAATATAATGATTATTATCACTTTCACCGTAAGCTTCACAGTAATTTTATGACATTCCACAATGAAAAGCGTACGTTTGAATCTCATCCAGATAACATTCGCAAGTCTTCTCATCTTCCCCTTTGCCATCTATTTCTCAGCAACGGACGATCGATTATCGTTGCCGATCAGGTTTTGGAGTTCCTTCATTATTCAAAATAGTAATTCATGCCCCTTTACCCTTAAAGAGACTCTTAAACTACAAAACTACAATAAACTACAGTGTGATACTCTATGAAGCTTCGTGTGAAGTTCTCGCTCGAATTTTTAAGCCTGAATCTTTTAAAAGTTTGGAGCTCTAATAACAGTTACAGCGAAATACAAGAAAAAAGAAAAAGTCACCGATTTTCTTGCCAAACGCTGAAGGTAAGCCACGAAAAGCTCACCGTAACAAGTTGCTTTCAGAAAGAAACAAGAAATAAGAAATAAGAAACAAGCAAAGATATCAAAACAGCCTT